GGCGGGGTGGTCTCTCGGCGGGAAGGCGGCCGGGCCCAGGCTCCGGGCGCCGCGGAGGGCGCGGGCTGGAGGGTCTTGCTCAGCCCTATCGGTCTCTTGCCTTTCCATGAGCTACGGGGCACAGAAACCCCTTTTCTGAGGGTTCTTCCCTCCTGTGTATTGACCATCCCTGTCCCGGCATCTCGATGTTATTTGAGAGGCGCTGGAGAAAAACGCTGAATTGGGGCCGAGCTGAGGCGCCCATGGCTGGCGGCAATTGGGGTGACCTCTGGGACCCTTGGCCTGCCAAGTGTGGAATTGTCCCAGGACCTGCTAGCCCAGGACAGATTGCAGAGATGGGTGAATGGAGTGGTAGGCCAATACCTCTTCAAATGGACAACCCCAGACCCCGGGGGAGGGGGGAAGGGGGTGGGGGTGGGTTCTCATTTACAGCTCCAAGCTATCCCGAGTTTAAATGCACCAGCCTATAAATTATGAAATAGTTCACCACATTTTGGTACTTGGGATGCCAAAATGTCTAGCATTAGTCTAGCTTTGGAGCATGCCTTATGGCAATCATCGGCTAGTGAAAGGAATACTTTGCATTATTAGCAGTAATAAATAAAATTGAAAAACGCATTTATTCCTATTTATTGCAGCCATGGCTCTAAAAGGACAAGAAGATTATATTTATCTTTTCAAGGATTCATCACATCCAGTGGATTTTCTGGATGCATTTAGAACATTTTACTTGGATGGATTATTTACTGATATTACCCTTCAGTGTCCTTCAGGCATAATCTTCCATTGTCACCGAGCTGTTTTGGCTGCTTGTAGCAATTATTTTAAGGCAATGTTCACAGCTGACATGAAAGAAAAATTTAAAAATAAAATAAAACTCTCTGGCATCCACCATGATATTTTGGAAGGCCTTGTAAATTATGCATACACCTCCCAAATTGAAATAACTAAAAGAAATGTTCAAAGCCTGCTTGAAGCAGCAGATCTGCTACAGTTTCTCTCAGTAAAGAAGGCTTGTGAGCAGTTTTTAGTAAGGCATCTGGATATCGATAACTGTATTGGAATGCACTCCTTTGCAGAATTTCATATGTGTCCAGAACTAGAAAAGGAGTCCCGAAGAATTCTGTGCTCAAGGTTTAAGGAGGTATGGCAACAAGAAGAATTTCTGGAAATCAGCCTTGAAAAGTTTCTCTTTATCTTGTCCAGAAAGAATCTCAGTGTTTGGAAAGAAGAAGCTATCATCGAGCCAGTTATTAAGTGGACTGCTCATGATGTAGACAATCGAATTGAACGCCTGTATAATCTCCTAAGCTATATCAACATAGATATAGATCCAGTGTATTTAAAAACAGCTTTAGGCCTTCAAAGAAGCTGCCTACTAATTGAAAATAAGATATGCTCTCTAATATATAATGCCTTGAATCCCATGCATAAAGAGATTTCTCAGCGGTCCACAGCCACAATGTATATCATTGGAGGCTATTACTGGCATCCTTTATCAGAGGTTCACATATGGGATCCTTTGGCAAATGTTTGGATTCAGGGAGCAGAAATACCAGATTATACCAGGGAGAGCTATGGTGTTACATGTTTAGGACCCAACATACATGTAACTGGAGGCTATAGGACAGATAATATAGAAGCTCTTGACACAGTGTGGATCTATAACAGCGAAAGTGATGAATGGACAGAAGGCCTGCCAATGATCAATGCCAGGTATTAGCACTGTGCAGTCACCTTGGGTGGCTGTGTCTATGCTCTAGGTGGTTACAGAAAAGGGGCTCCAGCAGAAGAGGCTGAGTTCTATGATCCGTTGAAAGAGAAGTGGCTTCCTATTGCAAATATGATTAAAGGTAAGTGTAGATTTTGTTTCTCCTGTGTTTTTTTAGATACCTGAGGTTAGATCAACAACTCATCTCTTTTGGAAGTAACTTTAGGAAAAATCTATCACGTTGGGATGCTCCTGAGGGACGATAGTAGATTATACATGTAGTGTGGCACAGCATGTTCCAGATAAAGACACAGCATAGAGCATAGTCCCCAGCTTGCCTGAGAGTCATGGAAGTAATGAAAACTACTCAATAAGCTGTTTTAGGGCTTAGGACATAGCTCAGTTGTTAGAGTACTTACCCAGCTTGCACTAAGCCCTGGGTTTGATCCCCAGTACCACATAAACTGGGTCTGTAGGAAACAGCTGGTCAGCTGTTACCAAATTTGTGTCATTTTGTCCCAAATGTTTCTTCCCAGGCCTTTCTGTTTCTTTTTTAACACTAGCAAGGGTGTGGGAATGTGACCTGGACTGGAAATCTGACCTGGTATGATCCTTGGATGAGAAGCAGGAAGCTGGGAGGCAGAGTGGTCTTGTGATCACCAGCTGCTTCTGCAGCTTTGCTGCCTGGATCCAAACTCTGACTGTCCACTTGCTTACTGGTGAACTTGGGCAAATTATTCAGCCCCTCTGTGTCCAGTTCTGCCATCTGTATGATGGGGATGGCAGCATTTCATAGGTAGGAGGCTTGGGAGGATTAAGGGAACCTGTGCTTGTAAAGCACATAGGGCAGTATCTAGTATGGAGTAATCCCTAGGTAGAACACAGGCCTGATTTTTCACGAGCCTGTCTGCAGGGGCAGCAATAGTTGGTTGGATGAGAGAAGGTAGCAGAAAGCCTGTTGCTTTGCTGTCTGGGTTTTGACTTTGCCTGAGTTTGACCATTACCTACCGATTTGGTGGTCCTGAATGTTCTTCTGCCTTTTGTCCTACAGAAGAAATAAGTGAAGTTCAAGTACTTTGGCAGTCATTGTAAGCTGCATGCATTTCTATACCTTTTCAATGATGAGATAACAATTTCAATGATTATAGAGCATATGTTTCTTAGAATGGAAGTTTATTACTTATGAAATTTTTAAAAATTACATTTGAGCTGGGGTGGTAGCACCCACCTTTAATCCCAGCACTCAGAAGGCAGAGGCAGGCAGATCTCTGTGAGTTCAAGGCCAGCCTGGTCTACATAGTGAGTTCCAGGCCAGCTGGGGCTACAGGGAGACCCTGTCTAAAAAACAAGAAGAAGGAAAAAAAAAAATATTTGAAACAATGCTTGCTGGAGGAAAGTGCTGCCATGGTGTGTCTATAGTGAAAGAAAACTTGCTGTATCCTTGGTGGGATGGGAGGTCTCTATACCCAGCATCCTTCCCCACATGCCAGCTGGCTCTACAATCCCAGAGGTCTATTCTTTTATTTTTATGCTCTATTTTTCAGTTTTTGAGACAATGTCTTACTATATAGTCCGGCCTACCACAAACTTGCAATCTTCATGCTTTAGCCTCTCAGATCTGGGATTATAGGAGTGAGCCACCACAAAGGCATAGACTTATTATTCTCATTGGAAGTACTTAAAATTTTTTTTGAATTTATATATTTTATGTGTAAGTTATTCCTTGCATGTATATAAATGCACTGATGTCATGAAGTGTCACAAGAGGGCGTCGGGTTCCCCTGGAACTGGAGTTACAGATGGTTTTTAGAACCTTGTAGGTGCTGGGAATGGATCCTGGGTCCAAAATTTACTTCCATTTTCCATTAAAAGATTAGTTCTTTTTTCCCATTGGTTTTATTTAGTAGTCTGAGATGAACTAGCAGCTTTCTTGGTAATGTGAGCTTCATTTTGGTAGAGTCATATTTCGAATTCATTTCCTTTTTTTTTTTTTTTTTTTTGGTCTTTTTGAGACAGGGTCTCCCTGTAGCCCCAGCTGTCCTTGAACTCACTATGTAGACCAGGCTGGCCTTGAACTCACAGAGATCCACCTGCCTCTGCCTCTCGAGTGCTGGGATTAAAGGCATGCGCCACCACACCCGGCTCATTTCCTTTTTTTGGTTTAGGGATATGTATACAGAAAAGACATAAGCCCTTGGATGTTTAGGAACCCCTGAGTCTTTCCTTTTCATCATAACTACTCTGCTTGTAAACCTACTTTTACTTTGAAATAGACATGAACAAGGAGATTAAACTGTTTTGGGCAAATAATACTGCTTATAAAAGTTGGTTGAAAAACTAAACTGGACATTTTCAACTAAAATGAACCTATTGTCCTTTCTTCTCTTACTTGGATGAACAGTTTTCTCTTCCTCAGTTTTTGTCGTATCAGAGTCTCCCAGTTTTCAGAGTTCAGGTCTTCAGAATCTGTCTGATTTATCTTGTTATCAAAGCCTGTCACTTTGACCTCTGTTTCTTGCCTCTGCCCAGAGAGCCTTCTAAGCCAGGCCCTTGATAATCCTCATTTGGGCTAATACCTACAGCTTTCTGAGTCTTCTCATTCTTTTTCAGTTCCTTCCTTCTACAAAAACCTGAAAAATCCTGCTGAATTAAGCCCACATTTAGCTGGGAGATCAGGGTCCTTTGTCATGTAACCGCAACATACCATGCCAGTTTTAGTTCCCATTGAGGACTCCCAGTGTGCCACCAACCCTGGTCATGCCTGCTTGGCTTTGCCCTATAAGCCTTTGTGGGGTCTTTCAGATGCTTAGAGCAGCTTACTCCCACGTCTGCTTGTTAGAGTCCTAACTACCAGGCCAGGGAAAATTCTGTCACCCTTGTTGTGATTTCTCCAGTAAAAAGCAATTTTTCTTTGATTTGACCAATCATGGTAAATGGTAGTCTCTCTCTCTCTCTCTCTCTCTCTCTCTCTCTCTCTCTCTCTCTACCCCTCTCCCTCTCCCTCTCCCTCCCTCTCTCTCTCATGCACACATATACACATTTTTCAGTATTTTTCTCATAAGTATATTTTAATTATTTTTACCCCTCAAAGATCATAAGGAGCCTACTGGCCTTCCGTTTTCATTTTTTATTTTTGAAACAGGGTCTCCTGGCTAGCCACAGCTGGCCTGGAACTTACTATGTAGACCAGGCTGGCCTTGAACTCACAAAGATCTGCCTGCCTCTACCTCTCAAATGCTGGGATTAAAAGCGTGCGCCACCACGCCTGGCCCCTTTTCATTCTTTTATTCCTCTGCACCTAGCAAAATGCCTCACATCTACCATCAGTAATGACAAAAACAATAATGAGAAGATCATCATTCTTTGCAGGAAAGAATGAACAGTCAATCTAAAGATGTGACTTTAATTGACACACAGGTGTGGGAAATGCTACGGCCTGTGTCTTACATGAAGTTATCTATGTTATTGGCGGCCACTGCGGCTACAGAGGGAGCTGCACCTATGACAAAGTGCAGAGCTACAATTCAGACATCAACGAATGGAGCCTTATTACCTCCAGTCCACACCCAGGTAACAAGAATCCTGTCTCAAATAGTATTCAACTGTTGTATTTCAGAAGTCAGGAATAGGACACAGAGAGTCAAGCTGGGCAAGAGATTATTTTCCTCTTTCAGAAGCTTGCTCTTTCTGGGTTTTAATAACTAAGAAACATTCATTCCTAGGATATGCAGTCCTGGATCTGTGCTACCTTAACAGTTATAAAAGAAAGTGTTGTCTGTCATAAGGAATGCTCTGCTTCTGTGATATCTTTGTGTGTGTGTGTGTGTGTGTGTGTGTGTGTGTGTGTGTGTTTGTAGGCCAGAGGTTGACATCAGGTATCTTCATCAGTCTCTGCTCCACTAGACAGAGTCTCTCACTGAAGCTGGAGCTCACTGATTTAACTGGCCAAGTGTTCAAATACTTGAGTCGGGAGGAGGGACACCTCATTCAAACCACCACAACACTTCACAGCCTTTCCTGCTTTCCACCCCATGCAACTACCTCTACCTTATGTGTCATCTCATCTAGCAGTACAGGGAGATGGGGAGAGCATGCCTGGATCTGGTGCTGCAAGTCGTATGCTAAAGTCTCCACAAGAGGAGGAAACTTCAGCTGTGGGCTACTCTGTCTGGCTCTGCAAGTAGAATGTTTAGACAGCAGTCTTAGTAGTCCAGATAATATCCCCACCATTTTCTCTTCTTACCAACAAAGTTCTAACTAATCGAAAGTAGTAAAAATAGGTCTCTCTGAGTAACAGCTAATGTTTATTCAGTATTTGCTTGGTACTTTATTCCAACAATTTTACATTTATTAATCTGTTTATATTTGTCAGCTTCACATTACCACAATGAAATACCTGAGGTGACTCACTTAGAAAAGGTTTATTTAGCTCACACTGTAGAGGTTCACTTCCAAGATTGGGTGGTACATGGGTCTGGCCTCCACTGCGAGCAGTGAGATGGTAGTATCAGGAGCATGTGTCAGGTGGAGCATGAGCAGGTGGTCACCTTAGAAGCCAGGGAGAACAGTGAGAGTGGACTGGCCAGAGTCCTACAGTGCCCTTCAGGGATCTCCCATAAAGCCCACCTTTTAACTGCTCATTGCTACTCTAGTAATGAAAACCAGTATCCTGGGGTCTAGGTCTTTTACATATAGCCTTTTGGGGAACACTGTATTTATTGTGTGTGTATGTGTGTGTTGTATGGTGCACGTTTGGGGGGGTGCACATGCACACTGCACATGTGTGTGGAGGTCTGAGTTGATGTTGAATGTCTTCATGATTGCTCTGTATTGTTTCTTGTTGAACCCAGAGCTGGACATTTCAGGAAGTCTAACTAGCCAGCTTACCCTGGGCAATCCCATCTCTGCCTCCTGATCTACAAAGCCTGTTCCAGGCCAGCTGGGGCTATGGGGAGACTCTGTCTCAAAAAGACCAAAAAAAAAAAAAAAAAAAAAAAATCTGAGTTGCATGTAGCTTATTGACTACTTGAGAAAGAGTCTCAGGGGCTGGAGAGATGGCTCAGTGATTAAGAGCATCCAGTTCCAGGGGATCCAACACCTTCTGTCCTCCGAGGGGATTGCACAACATAGTGCACTACTTGCAGGCAATACATGCATACACATAAAATAAAAATAATTAATAAAATGTAAAAAAAGAAAACATATTAAATAAAAAAAGAAAAAGAGTCTAAAAGGCAATGTGACTTATGCCTAGCATTAGAAGGCACGAATAATTCAAAATCAACCCCCGAAAATTATAGTATGAATCAGTAAAAACATGTCATTGTGGTTGGAAAGTTTTAATTTATGTTAAACTTTTCCTGATGATTTAAAACAGGTTCTCACTGTGTAGCCCTGCTAGCCTAGAACTCATTGTGTAGACCATGCTGGCCTCATATTTACAGAGATCCACCTGCCTCTACCTCCCAAATGCCTGGATTAAAGGTATATACTACCACACCCCTGAAATATTTTTAAAATATATTAGCATCTTATACAGTATGTTCTGTTTGACTTTCATTGTGCTTAAGCTGTTTTTGAATTGACTTGTTACCAAAATTTTAAATTCAAGATACTTCACACAAAAATCGTGATTTCTGGCTTTAAAAAAAAAAATATTGGAATATGTGACAGCTTGACAGTGTTCCTCCCTGGCAGTCATCATAGAGCTGAGTAACACCTGTTCTTGTTTGATGAGGTTTATATTTTCCATTGCACCATAATCCTTCTATTTCTGGTCACATCCCAGACTAAGGGATCTTGTGTGTTGTTTTATCCCTGGCCTGCTTTATTATCATAGTGCCTAAAAGGACAGAAGGAGAAAACAAAATGGAAAACACTAAGGCAGTCTAAGTGAGGTGGACTTCCTTGGAGCAGACTCCCAAGAACAGGGCACAGATGCCCACAGCAGTCCTTCACCCAGAGAAGCCTTTCACAGTGGCTGAGTATGGTAGCCATGTGCCTCAGTAACCTAGGTGTACGCTACTCTCACTTGTACCCCTAACTGGGCTGGCAGTGTAAGAGAAGCTAGCTAAGCTATCCTCTGTGGTATGTGTGGCAGCTGACACATCATAGGGTCTTCCCCTGCTTGCAGGGACCTTAAGAAACCTATACCAGTTACCTTGTGTGCTGTCTTGTAAGGAAGACTGTACTTCTATCACCTTGAGAGATGATAGATGTTAACTGAAGATAAATGAATGTCAATTAAAAGCTGTCTGTGTTGGGCAATTCCTGGGAAGGTGGTGGTCTGAGGGAAGGGTTCCCTCTTGTCTTCCTGCACAGCCAGCTTGGGAATTACCATTAATGCCCCGTGGCTAAGTCACATGGCAGGAACAGATTATCAGAATCAGATGACATGGATTGAATTTTAACCTCAGTGTACACTAGTATGTGACAGAATCAAAATGTCACCATTTCTATATTTGTGTTCCAAATTGTAAAGAATTATTATTTTGCCACAAGATGATAGCTCTTTACCATTATAATAAAATATTGCTCTTTTCTTTCTTCCTTTCTAAAAGAATATGGACTGTGCTCAGTTCCATTTGAAAACAAGCTCTATTTAGTCGGTGGACAAACTACAATCACAGAGTGCTATGACCCAGAACAAAACGCATGGAGAGAGACAGCTCCCATGATGGAAAGGCGGATGGAGTGTGGGGCTGTCATCATGAATGGATGCATCTATGTCACCGGAGGGTACTCCTACTCAAAGGGGACATATCTTCAGAGCATTGAGAAATACGATCCAGATCTTAATAAGTGGGAAATAGTGGGCAATCTCCCAAGTGCCATGCGGTCTCATGGATGTGTTTGTGTGTATAATGTCTGATTGAGTCCTCGGGACTGACCAGGTTATCACTATTTAGGGATATAGTAAAAAGAATGCAGAGTTTGGAGTGCCTTACTTGTTATTGTGGTTTGGCACATGCTAGGGGATTGGTAAATTTTAATTCCTAACCCTATATCATTCCCAGACCCAGTGATTAATGGCAAGAAAAATATTATGTATGTATACAGTTCAATTAGTAGGGTTAACCCCCGTAATCTCTATTTTTCAAAGGTAGAATGGATATTTGATACTTGGTAAAAGGTGAAATATCTTTGTAGTGAATCTTTCTTCCTGGTAGCATCAACACTGGGTATAGGTCAAAAAATCATTCATTATGAAATGTCTGTTAAGAGCTTGTGATCTGCCAAGTGTGGTGGTATACTCGAGGCAGACACAGGCCTCTGTGAGTTTTAAAAAGCCTATGATATATCAACGTATATTGAGGCTTTGTTTAGATGGCGGGAATTTGAAATGTCAAGAGGAAACCTTCTCTACCTCTACAAAATCAACACTTAAAAATGTTTCCCTAAAAAAAAAAAAAATGTTTCCCTTTAGGATTAGAGTGTGGATTTGCTTTAAGTATAATTTTTCCTTTTGTCATGTATATAATTTATTGCTAGTATTTTTTATTTACGGTCATAGCTATACAAAATACTGTACAAGCCGGGCGTGGTGGCTCATGCCTTTGATCCCAGTGCTCAGGAGGCAGAGGCAAGTGGATCTCTGTGAGTTCAAGGCCAGCGTGGTCTATATAGTGAGTTCCAGGCCAGCTGGGACTACAGGGATACCCTGTCTCAAAAGACCAAAAAAAAACCCAAAACACTGTACAAAAGATTGTTATTATTCAAAAAGTTTACAACTAAATTTAAAAGAAGAGTAGGTCTAAAAATGTATAGAGAAAATAGTCAAATATTTGCTGATGC